CCAGACTCTGCAAACAAAGTCTTTGCAAACTCTCGTTTGGACGTTATTGTGATTTCCATGGAAATCCTGGGCTGTGAAGACAGCCTCTGACTTCCGCCCCCACAGCCAAGGTCCTGCCTGGGAAGGTGGAGGTGACCTGCAGGTAAGTCTGCGCAGACGTCTGGGGCAGCAGCTAAGCTGCCACACGGGTTGCCCGCATCTCCCAATGAACTGCTTGGCTTCAGGTCCTACTTCTACTTCCAGTTCTAGCTTCCTGCCAGCCATGCGGGAAATTCCAAGGGAGTGGGCCGGGCCTGGCCTGGTTTTGTTGCAGGAACCTGAGAAATGAAGTATTTGGATGCAAGATTACCTTTTTCCCTCCTCTATCTCACTCTATCTACCTTTTGAATCCAATGAAATATAGTAAAAGAAAAAAAACTTAAGGGGCCTGGCGTGATAGCCTAGTGGCTAAATACCTCACCTTACATCCACTGGGATCCCATACGGATGCTGGTTCCTGTCCCGGCTGCTCCATTTCCCATCCAGCTCCCTGCTTATGGCCTAGGAATGCAGTAGAGATGACCCAAAGCTTTGGGACCTTGCGCCCATGTGGGAGACCCAGAAGGAGCTCCCATCTCCTGGCTTCCAATCAGTTCAGCTCTGGCCACTGCAGCCACTTGGGGAGTGAACCAGCAGATGGAAGATCTTTCTCTATCTCCTTCCTCTGTAAATCTGCATTTCCAATAAAGTAAATCTTTAAAGACAACAACAACAAAATATTCTTTTTTTTTAAGAATAGTGTACCTGGTTTGAGTCCAAGCTGCTTTGCTTCTGATCTGGCCTCCTGCTAACGCACAGATGATGGCCGCAAGCCCTGGCCCCTGGCCCCCTGGCTTGGCCTAGCGCAGGCACTTGGGGAGTGAGCCAGTAGATAGAAGATCTCTTCATGTCTTCCTCTGTTCGTCTTTCAAATAAAGATGGGCCCTAGTTCAGAATCCACTAAAGTCTACACCCTCAGGTAAATCCCGGCCCTTTCTCACAAAAGGATTTTAATGAGAAGAGAGGAGGAGGCATTTCATCAAGATGCTCCTTCTATTGAATCAGGTCTAAAAAGACGCGAATTAGAAAATCGGGCTCGGGCCTGCATGATGCATTTCTGAACAAAGCACAGATCCAGGCCAGACTCACACTGGTACCCGAGCACATCAGCCATCGCTGTGACTATGGTTGTGTTTGGCCCTTGGACAAGACAGTCAAATCATCAGGGACCAATATCAACAGCACCTGTTCTCACCTTTAGGAATGTCACTCTGTGTCTCCCCAAGCCCCTTACGAGGGGCTCACCAACATCCTTAAGCATTCTGTTCCTCTCCACTTCGCGAATTTTTCCCTTTTATCGCACAGGTTTTCACCTAGTTAGATTGTAAGACTTGTTTATTTAGTTCAGAGTTTCTGACAGGAGAGAGATTTAATCTGCTGGTTCACTCCTCCAATGACTGCAATGGCCAGAGCTGCAACAGGCAGAAGTGAGGAGCCCAGGTCTCCATCCAGGTCTCCCTCATGGGTGGCAGGCTCCCAAGGATTTGGGTCATCTTCCACTGCTCCTAGAAGCACTAGCAGGGAGCTGGGTGGGAAGTGGAGGAGTCAGGACTTGAGCCAGTGTTCTTGTGTGATGCCAGCACTGCAGGCAGTGGCTTAACCCATGCTCCACAGTGCTGGCCCCTGGCTAGAGTTCTAATACCTACTTCATCTGACAGACAGATGCGTGCTACTTGCAAGAACAGGAGATCGGAATGAGTCCAGTGAACTCTGCTGGCGTCTGAGTACTTTAGGAACAAGCTGGCAGAGCTGCTGCTGTCCCATTTTACGTCTAGGATCCTTCTCTCTTATTCAGACTTAGTTATTCAACAGGCACAGGGACAGCTCAATCCCAAACGGTCGCAATATGCCTCACACCCTCATACATGAAGATGATACAATGCATGCGGTCAATTACCTTCAGCCACAACTCACAAGAATGGCATCTGTCCAGTGTGTCTCATCTGTTCTCCAACCTCACAGGCTGTGAAGACAGATGCTTCACAAACCCGTTTCTTTTTTTGCTGCTTCTGCAAATGTAGCCACTAAGTTTAAATCCTGGACTCGAGCTGGCACTGTGTGCAGTACATTAGGGCACTGTGCATGATGCCAGCATCCCACACAGGCACTGACTGGAGATCTGGCCGCTCCAGTTTGGATCCAGCTCCCTGCTAGTGCTCCCGGGAAAGCAAAAGATGGACCAAGTGCCTGGGCCTCACTTGAGAAACCCAGATGGAGTCCTGGGTTTCTGGCTTCAAAAGCTGCCTTTCAAATACATAAATAAATAATGAGGAAAAACAAAAACAAACAAACAAAATCTTGGGGCCAGCACCATGGTATATCAAGTTAAACCTCTGCCTGTGGAACCAGCATCTCACCCGGGTGCTGGTTTGAGATCCAACTGCTCCACTTCTGATCCAGTTCCCTGCCAATGTGCCTGGGAAAGCAGCAAAGAACCACCCAACTCCTTGCCCCCTGCACTCACATGGAGACCCGGAAGAGGCTCCTGGTTCTGGGCTTCTAACTGGCTTAGCTCCAGCTGTTGTGGCTGTTTGGGGAGCAAATGAACAGATGGATGATCTCTCTAACTCTGCCTTTCCGATAATATTAAATCTTTTAGAGAATTCCTTGACAAAGAAGACTCTCTTGTAGCTGTCCCTCACTGTTTTTTCTTTCCTGCTCATTTCTGTTTCAAACATGAGTCATCTCGTATCCACAACTCCATGAACTCCACCCTGCTTTCATATTTCTCCTTTTAGCTGGCTACAATGCAACTGCTAAGCCCAACTTCCTCCCAACGGACAGCATTGATCAACGTTATCCCTCCCACTGCGGCCAGGCGCTAACTCTGTCCACACAACAACCTGAGATCTGGCCACGCCTCTAGCTGAACTCAGCAGCACTGCCTCCTTCTGACCCAATCCAGACAGACAGGCTTTTTACTTTCTCACTGCCTAACCCCACGGCTCACTTTACTTGCACACGTCCTCAGGGGCTGGGCCAGGCATGCACAGCCCGGCTGCGGACTTCTCAGGGGGCCCCGTCCTGCTCAGCTTGCTCTCTCCCCTGTGCCTAGCAGTGCCTGGCACCCTAGAGGCAGCTGCCACTGTTTGCTTACCACATTCCAGCCGCTGGTGCTTGCCTCGCTCGCTCCACTTTCCCCGGCCCTCCTGATTCCTCTCACTTTGGGGGCTCCTCCTGCCTGGCCACACAATTTTTTTCCACACAGGTTCCACTCCCAAGGACCCCTTTGCATAGCTCTGTGGTGACATGGGAGGCCTTTTGCACGCTGAGCTCCCAGAGCACTGAGGGTGTAGCAGAAGGTGCCAGGGCACAGGAGTCACTGGCCCCCGGCTCCCCGTGGGGGTGGGCCCACGTGCAGCACTGCCTCCCAGCTCACACCCTCCTGGCCGTCTGTGCACACACACACAGTGAGCCGAGCCTGGCTCCCGCCTGCTGGCTAGCGGGGCCAATGGCACCGGCGGCTACTCTGACAAGTCTCTGCAGCACTCCGGAAGCAGCGGGGCACTTGGGAGGCAGGCCCTGCAGTCACCACCTGTGGGTCCCCGGCCCGCCACCGTACAGCTCTGCGAACCCTGGGCCATGATTTTCTCATGTCAAAAAATAGGAAAATGAGAGACTGTGCTCCTTCCTCATTCTGCAAGGATGGGAATGAAGACAGAATCAGCTCAAGAGCCCTCAGCAAGGGCTGGGCACTCCGTGTCACATGTCTGAGGGGGTCTCACTGTCAGGATCCCCCTGTCAGATCCAGGAACACCTTTGCCCCAGCTTCTCACCAGCAAATCCCGGGAGCAGCCCCGAGGAGATGAGGCAGCCACAGTGGCCCCGAAGGCCCTGGGAGGACAAAATCTCCTTGCCACCACCTCAGGCCCCAGGCCCCGGGACACATCCTCCTCCTCTGAGGAGCTGGCTCCACCTGTTGCCAGATAATGCCCATCATGCCAACGATACATCCTCCCTGCCAGGCTGTGGCACTCTGCTGCTCACTTCCGGCACCAGGTGGGAACTGCTCTCTGAATCCTGTCAGCACGCTGTCGTTTTTTTCAAGAGGCGCTATGGCTCTTGGGAATTAGGCGGGTTCTCGCCTAGGCGGATTTCTGTGTAGACAAAGGGACTCTGGAAAGGGTCCCCTCCACCTGACCGATTTCCTGAGTGGTCTGTGCTGAACCATCCCGGTCCTGGTCCAGGGGTAAGCTCGACCAGGCCCCTCCGTGTCCAAGCTGCCCCGGCCTGAGATGGGCAGTCCTTCCGCAGCCCGCCAAGCTCCTTCTCAAACCCTGCAGGGAGATGACCATCACAGCAGACACGCGAAACACTCACCTCCTCTCCCTGTGAAGTGACACTCTACTTTCCGTAACACGGAAGCAGCAAAATGACTGCTGGCAGGACACACCGACCAAGGACGCGGCTCCACGGAACAGCGGAGTGCGGTGCACACGTTCCACCCCGACGGCAGGTGCCGGAGCGTGCGCCTCACACCCTGTCCCCGGGCTGGACTGACGGCACAGTCGCCACCCCAGCTAAATTCAACCCCAGCTCCAACTCCTCCTGTTGGCTTACTTTGGGTTAACTGCCAAACTTTGCCAAACCGAAAATTAGCTGTACATTTAACACAGAGGGTGAGCACATATGGGGCCCTGACAAAGTTCATGGAGATGCAGAGCACATATAAACACGAGACCTAGATTTCCATGTAGCGGCACCCAAATAAACATAGCTTTTTCATTTCTTTTCCACCAACCTTCTGAAGTGTCCCCGAATTCTAGGAGCCTGATGGGTAGATAGCATGCAGCCAGCTCTGCCCCGTGCCCCGCCCCTGGCCATTCCTGGCTGACGCTCCCAGTACCACCTACTCCTCCTGCCTGTCACAGCACCCAGCGCGGCACCTGGAAGGGCACGACGCCCAGAAGCGGGTCCCCTACCTCTGGAAAATCTCCTGCAGGGCGTCCCGGGTGAAGGCGCTGCCGTCCTGGAAGACGTTGTTGAGCGCGTGCAAGGCACAGAGCTCCCGCCGCTGCTTCTCGTGGTAGATGTGGGCAGGCGCCGCCGGGGGCAGCTCCAGCGACACGCACTTGCCCTTGTCTCCTGTCCATGGCACGCAGCTCATGGTTTTGCGTGTGTGTGTCTTAGGGTCTGGAGGAGAGCTCACAATCCCCCCTAAAGGCTTCCCACCGGCTCCAGTAAGTCCAGAATTCCTGAGGTCCACCTTATACACAGGTGTCCATGCTAGATACTATGTCAGTAGAAGAGGCTGTGTTCCAAATGGGAATGACAAAAAAAAAAAAAAAATCAACCTCTTCTCTCTTCTCGATAGAAAAGTAACTTTTGGTTTAGCTGACTTGGCCACCGCTGGCAAAGCGCAGATTTCTGTTTAAATCACACACACACAGAAATGTCAGACCTGGCTTTCCCGTCCCCCACCCGTGCCTCCCACGCCCCTTCCCAGACCACGATTCTGTCCGTCTCTCTTGTCTCGCCGTATTGTCTTCTCTGTAGAGGCCAAGCAGGGGTCAATAAGGGAGGCCCGAGAGCCACCGGCGCTCCTTTTCTTCCATTTCTCGCCGACCGCGACGCCAAGGCCTGGGCGGTGGAGAACACGCACGGATCCCAGCACTCAGCGAGGGCCGGGCGGCGCGGGCGGGCAGCGCTCCATGCCGTGGGCGAGGCGGCGGGCCGCGGGCAGCCTCGGTCAGGGCGCAGACACTCGCCCCTCTCGCCTCGGGACCCTGCGGAACACAGCACCGCGGTCAGCGCCCGCGGAAACGGGGCGCAGCGCTCGAGGGGGGCCCCCAGGGAAGCGCCCCTCGCAGGGGCACCGGCCAGCCCGCCGAGGGTGGGCACCGGGGCCCAACGGGCTCGCCGCCCTCCGCCCCAAGCCTCCCGCCCGTCACGTGAGTGCGAGCCCAGACGCCTCGCCGCCGGCCCTCGGCCCCTCCGGCCCTCACCGCCTCCGGCAGGCACCCGGAGCGGCGGGCCGCCACCTGGGCCGCGGGGCAGCGCACCTGAGCCCGGCGTCAGCGGCCCTCGCCCGGCGCGCGCGCTCCGGAAACGCCCTCCCGCGTCGGCCGCGCTCCGCCCCCCGCCGTCGCGTCACGTCTCACGTCACCCTGACGTCAGCCCCCGGGGGTCGCGGCGGCGTGGAGGGGCGGCCGGGCCGGCGGCCGCGGCGTGCCCAGTTGTGGGACGCGGAGGTGACCGGTGGAGCTGGGGCAGACCCGTCCCGGGCAGCGCCTCGGTGTTGTGGGCGGGGCGTCGGCGCTGTTCCGGGTCAGCCGCCCCGCTGCGAGGGTTTGTGGGTTCAGAGCTCTCCGGCAGCTGGACACCGGACGCCCACCGCACCGCCACGCGCGTCGCCGGGAGTGACCGTTACCCGGGCCTTGCTCCTGGTGACCAGTGGATCCTCGGAGCCTGCACGCATTGTGTGTGGAGAAAGGCCGAGTCTCAGGGCCTGTGGAAGGCGTGGTTATCCACCTGCACCTTGTGGGGTTTTGTTCTGAACATCGATAAAACATGAAAGGAAGAACTCGCACCTTCCCCGGCCCAGTGGCGTCACTGGACAGTGGTGTTACACTGGACAGTGTCGTCATCGCGCAGCTATGAGCTCCTGTCACAGAGTAGCATGTCCTTTGTGTCCAACTTAAGTTTTTGGCATTGGCGTGCTGTTATTAGGGTTATGCAAACATTTCTACCAGATTTTTTTAAAGTTTTTTTTAATTGGAAAGAAGGCAGATTTACAGAGAGGAGGAGAGACAAAGATCTTCCATCCACTCAACAAGCTAATCCTCTACCTGCAAGTGGCAGCCACAGCTGGAGCTGAGCTCATCCAAAGCCAATACTAGACAGGAGCCTCCTCTGGGCCTCCCACGTGGGTGCAGGCTCCCAAGGCTTTGGGCCGTACTCCACTGCTTCCCCAGGCGACAAGCAGGGAGCTGGAAAGGAAGTGGAGCAGTCAGGAACCAGTGCCCATATGCGATCCTGGCACATGCAGAGCGAGAGCTTTTACCACTAGGCCACCTTGCCAGATCCCTCCATCAGATTTTTTTTTTGTATAGGGCTTGCATTGCAGCAAGTGCTATGTTTTTGTATTGTTTTGTTTTTGTTGTATATCTACGTATATTTAAATATAAAGCTCTCTTTGAAAGTGGTTAGAACCCATGAGTGCCCCTCCCCAGCTGCCTCTCTGCAGGGTGGCAGGTGGCTGGCTCAAAGCTGACTTTGCAAGGGGGACATGGGGCTGGCAGTGCAGCAGGAACTAGAAGTTGGCGAGCTGGGCACATGTGGCCTCACTGGCCTGGTAGTCGGGCAGGGCCGGGGCTTTTCTCCTGAGACATTCTTGAACATTCACGGGTGCACAAAGCTGCTGTCACTACATACACCTCGTTAGAGCAGATGGTCCCTGCCAACACCTGGCTCTTGAAGGATACAAACTTGAAAACATCCAACTCCTCTGGCTGAAACTTCACTGCATCAGCGATGTTCTAGGTCTCTGCCGAGGCGAGCTGTGTGGCAAAAAGCACCCTGCATGTCATCCTGGAGGCTTCACAGGCGAATGCTTTGTGGTGACTATGAGGGGTGTGGATGGTGGGACCTGGCACAAGCACTGCTTTAATAGGCATGTGTGAGGCCATCGTGGTGGCTCAACAAGCTAATCCTCCCCTGCAAGCGCAGGCACCCCACATGGACGCTGGTTCCGATTGGCTCAGCTCTGGCTATTGCAGCCATGTGGGGAGTGAACCAGTAGATGGAAGATCTTTGCTTCTCTCTATAAATCTGCCTTTCTAATAAAAATAAGTTTTTTAAATAGGTGTGTATATAAACTCATAAAATTTTCCGAAAAGTTTTCTTTTAAATTTTATTTTATTGGAAAGGTGTATTTAGAGAATGGGTGAGAAAGAGAGAGAGAAAGATCTTCCATTCACCAGCTCACTCCCCAAATAACAGCAATGGCAAGAGTTGAGCCGGTCTTAAGTCAGGAGCCAGGAGCTTCTTCCTGGTCTCCCACGTGGGTGCAGAGTTCTAGGGCCTTGGGACATCCTCTGCTGCTTCCCAGGACACAATCAAGAAACTGGATCCAAAATAGAAGAGCAGTGTTGGGCGATCAGGGGTGCAGGTGTCTGAATCTCTGAGCCAAGAGATTGGCTGGAAAAACTTGTGCCGGGCCAGGCTTCCTGCTGGGGCTCCTAGTTCCCGATCCTCTGCTGCCAAGCGGTGGGTGAATCCTGGGCTTGTGGGTGTCCAAAACAACAACAGAGCCAGGCTTTGCCTGTTGGCCACCTGGTGGCAAGCTCTGGGTTGTTGGGGGTCTAGAATTATTGCCTAAGGACATCCATGAATAAGGCTCAATATGTGTAGGTGAGGACTGGATCCTGCAGGACACTCAACAACAGGGCTACTGTTCTTGCAGGTAAGCGAGGGGAGTGAGACATGGTGGTTTGGAGGGGAAAGACTAGAAGATCTGTATGGGTCAGACTGATGACCAGCCCACATGGGAATCTGGAGTTAGGCTTGTTAGCATGGAACATTGCTGACCACAACACGCTAGTCCATGCGAAAGCTAGGGCTGGGGATCTGTCTAGCAGGACTACATCCCAGCACTTGACTGAAAGTCGAAACAGAGGGCAGGTCACATTAGGAAGGGCTATGGCACTAACAGCAAATAAGAGAACCAGCTCCGGGGGTAGATTTTGTGGGCCAAACACTGTGGAAATGCAAGTCCCATTGGTTAGCTCAAGAGTTGGGGTGGAGATGGGCTGAGCTAGGTGCAATCGTGGACCTGCCAACACTCAGGTACAGGGACTGAGAATAGTCTAGGCATGTCTAACTGCAGCGCTCGCATGTGCTTCATAAACAGGGTGTGGGGTGGGCTGGGCCACAGCATCCACCAACTCATACTAGGCCAAGATGGAGAAGTAGGCTATGCCAAGCATGGGCCAAGCACCCACTGGCATGTGTGAGATCTGGATCTGGGAGTGACCTGAGTGGCAGAACTTGGAAAACTCCCCTAGTGGGTCATAGCTCCCACTGGTGAGCATGTGGTCCAGGCCTGGGAGTCAGGCAGGCTTCCAACTGTTGGCTAATGTGTTGGTTGGTTTTGGAAGGGGGCGGACCCGGCAGGGCCAAGCAAACCTTAGCTCACAGGCAAGTGCAGAAACCAAGCTGGAGCATAGGTCATGCTGGACTAGGCTGTCACACCAGTTTACATGAGCCAGGGATGAGAGCATATTGAGCAGGACCAGGTTCCAGCACCTATCAGTGAGAGAGTTGGGATTGAGGGCAGACTGGGTCAGGCCAGGCTACAGCATCCAAGGGCAAAGGCCAAGACAGGTAAGGGGCTACGCCAAGTGGGTCAGAGCAACCACTGAGACACACAAGATCTGTGGCTGGAAACAGACCTGGTTGGGGAGTAAAAGGGATGTCCTAGCTGGGTTGTGGTTCCCACTGATAAGTGTCAAGGCCAGAGTAGGGGCTGCTATCTAGTCTGGGCATAGCTGCAGTGTCCCTTGGCACGAGTGTGGACTGGATCTTGGGTGCACCAGACTGAGCTAGACTCCAGCAGCCACTGGTGCTCATGAGAACCAGGATAGGTGTAGGGACAGGCTAAGCTAGATCTCTGCCCCTGCTGAGCCATGTGTGAGCTGTATCTGGGTGTGGACCAGGCTTGGCTGGGCTGTAACACCCAACAGTAAAAGCCAGAAAGGGTGAAGGCCAGTCACAAAAGGCCACTGTTCCTGCTAGGACAGAAGGTGGACTAAGTAGGGCAGGCCCATGAACCCACCGGTGTGTGTGAGGTCTAGCATTGGCAGAGGTTCTGATGGAGGAGCTTGGAGAATACCTCTGTTGGGACACAGTTTCTGCAGGTAAGCGCAAAAACCATGATAGGGAACAGCCCAGACCAGGCCAGGGAGCAGTATCCACCAGCACACATCTGGCCCGGGTTGGAAACAAACCAGGCTGGGCCAGTTCATATCACCTGCTGGCAAGTCCAAGTACCAGAATGGTGTGGGTCAGGCCAGGTTGAGTCACAACACAAACCAGTTCACAGGAAGGCCAGGACTGGGGGCCAGATGGGCTGGGCTAGGCCATAGTCTCCACCAGTGTGAACTGGAATTGGAGCTGGGCTGGGCCAGGCCAGACTGCAGCACCCACTGGCAAATGCTGAGGAGATGCGGACCATGCCAGACTGGGCCAAAACACCCAACCAGCCCAGTGAGGAAGCTTCGGGGGCAGGGGGTGAAACCAGTAGGGAAGCTATAGAGGGCTCCCCACCACTAGACCACCACTGCCACTGGAGAGCATGAGTTGGAATGGGGGCAGGCCAGACCGGATAGGACTCCAATACCTGTTGACCTCATGTGGGTTGGATGGGCGAAAGCCAGGCTGGGTTGACTGTTCCTACTGGTGCATGTATAAGTCAGAGTGAGTGTGGGTCGAATGGGCTTTGCCGCAGCATCAGCTGGCAGATGCTGGCATGGGGGGCAAACTTTTTTGGGGGGGCAAATTCTGTCAAACTGTAGAACTACCTGGAGAATGCAAAAAGATCCAGGAGTGGGAATGGAACGATCAGGGAAACGGTGGGCATCTCCATGTTGGGTTGCCACTCTGACTGGTGAGCATGAGAACCAGGACTGGGGCAGGCGTGACTGGACACAGAGTGGCACCTGTTGGCAGGGTGGGCTGGATAGTGGCACTGGTTGAGTTGAACTAGGCTTCAATGCCCATTGACATGTATGAGAGCTGAATGGGATGTGGAACAGACTGGACCAGTCTGCTGTACAGACTGGCAAGCACGGGAACCAGGGCAGGGGCTGGCCTGGTGAGGGTTATTGCGAGTCACTCTGACTAGGCTGCAGCTCCCACTAGTGTATGTGAAGGCCGAATGAGTGGTGGGCCAGATCGGGCTGGGCTGAAACACCCATTGGTTTGTGTAAAAAACAGAGCTGGAGACAGAACTGACCCAGCAATTGTAACCACCAGCATGGGCCCAGTGGGATGATTGGGGCAACGGACTGTACTGGACCCTGTATTGGCAAGCACACACAAGAATCAGGTCTGGGATCACCTTAGATGAAATTTCTTTTTTTTTTTTCCTTTTCTTTCTTCTTTTTTTAATTACAGAGCTACTTTCAATACTTTGGGGTGTGCCCCACAGGAATGAAAAACACCGGGAAGAGACAACCCCCTTACCCTCAGGAGTGGCCCAGAGAGGGAGAGGCTGCCTGAGGGGAAGTGCCAGAGTCCAGCTCAGAAGGGTGCGTGGAATAGGCATAGAGAGAAAAGAAATGGACCACTATTTATTTCACAATCAAAATGGACAATGCAAGAAAGCTGTCCCCTTTATTTATGCAAAAGCAGTCACAAGCTCTGGCTCGGTGAGACGTTTTAAGTCATGGTTAAGTGGGTGTTTCCAAGAATAATTCTGCCATTTGTTTCACCTTAAAGCTCTTAATAGAAGTTGTCAATAGAAGTTCTCAATACTTGGTGCATATCAACCAGTAACACATTCTTACTACAATCCTCATTCTACAACTTAATCTCGAATCGGTTATGGGAGGAAATGCATCACAAAAAAGGCGGGGGTGGGGGGAACCTAAAGATCAAGGAGGTCAAGTGGGGGCAGCAGAGACGGCATGAATTTAAAAGGCGCTTTGGCAAGGCTTATCAGCAAGATCAACTTTCAAGCTCACATAGATAGTAAAAACCAACTCAGCAGCAGCAAACAATGCCTAAATAGATTGCAGAATTCTCAGCGGGGTTGTCCAGTGTCCATGCAAGGGAAGTGAAACCCCCATCAGGTTATAGAGACAACCCCCACTCGGGCCCTGTCATGCAGCAGGGAGATTCCTTGTGGCCTTGCCTGCAATGGAACAGTTCTCTTCACACCCGCTGCACGGACTCCAGCAAGGCAGGAAACATGGAAGGGACACACTGTGGACTGGGGCAAGGGGAATGTCATTGGTGCTGGGACCTGGGAGCACTATAAGAGACGTGAGCAGGGTGGGACTGGCTCCAGGCACCCAGGTGGAGGGCAAGAGGGTTGAACACAAAGCTACAAGCTACTTGGGTTCCTCCTTCTCATTTTCCTTTTTCTGCTTCTGCTTCACGATCTCTGAGTCCCTCTGCTTGCGGGAGGCAGCAGAAATCCTGTCATCTTGGTACTTTCCCTTAACTGAGTCGTTCTGCTTTTCCATATTCTTCTGGCGGGCGAATTCACGCTGGTTACCATGGGTCATGGCGACAGCAGTGGCTCTGACTTCTCAGATAAAGTTTCTATGGGGATTCCCCCCAACTAAATTGCTGGACTCAGAATCCCAACCATGGAGAGAATTGCAGGTTCCATGGTCTGACCGTGGAATTCATGTGTCAGAGCTCGGCCTCCTTAGTGGCTTAGTTGGAGCAGTGGACAGCATACTCAGATGCACATGGAGGATATGGCAGTCCATTGGAGTCTGCAGAGGACACCTGATACCATAAAAAGATGGAGGACAGAACAAATGGATCAACTATCCCAGCCAAGTCTTGGCAGTGAATAACTGGGCAAACGGAGACTCTAAGGTGGACTATGTCAGCCAGTGGAGTCTGGCGAAATTTCATCGTGCTTATAGTGGCAAGATCGGCAATAATTCAGAACTGTTGAACTATTGAAACCTCATGAGCAGGACCCTCAGAACATGCCCCACATCAGCGACCCTGGGTGGTATGAGGTAGCTGTCCTCCATCCCAGGGTGCAGAGGCATTTGGGAGGCTGGGTGTGGCTTCTCTCCTTGTCTTCCCCCCTTCCCCTAGATGCAAGAAGGAAAAAAAGAGAATGTGGAAATGGTGATCTCATCTTCCTGTAGCCCTTGACCCTAATCACCCTAATCAACTATATAAACATCATTACAAATAAACACAATTAATAATTTAAAAAGAAGTAGAATGGCCTGGCCAGGCCAGGCAGAATGGCTCAGTGGCTAAAATCCTCGCCTTGCATGCATTGGGATCCCATATGGCTGCCTTGAGTCCCTGCACCTGCGTAGGAGACCTGGAAAAAGCTCCTGGCTCTGGATTAGCTGATGTGGCACTTGGGGATTGGTCCAGTGGATGGAAGATCTTGATGTTTTTCTTCTCTGGTTATTTCCAATAACAATAAATCTTCATTAACAAAAGAAGAACAGTGAGGACTTGAGCCAGCACTCATAATGATGCTGGCTCTACTGGCCACTGCTTAGCTTGCTAAGCCCTAAAATTATTTTTAAGGAGAAAAAAATTTGAAGCTCAAAGAGACGTGTTAATTTGTTTCCGATCGTATGCATGTGGATCCAGTATATAGCAGATTCAGGATATAAGCCTATTCAGGATATAAGTTTCAGAAAGAGGATGCAAAGATGGAAATCCCTTCTCTCTGATCTCCCCGTTCAGTTCTGGAAGATCCCACTCAGAATATCTTTTCTGGACGAGGTCCTACAGTGGGAAAGTAGTGATTTTTAGATTTGCTGTCAAGCATCAGGACCACTTTCTGAACTTGAACTCTTTCTGGAAGAGCCAGTTGGAAAAGTGAAAACTGTCCTGACTCATTAGAGCAATAGCCAACAGGTGTTTTTCCCATTGTCTACAGCCCAGCACTTGTAATCACCAAAATGAGACATCTCTGCTGTACCCATTTGAGTGCTGTGGCTGGCTGGCCTCAACTTCAATCTCGTGTGGATGCGGTCTATTATCAGATTTCTGGCGAAGATCAACGGCATTGCAGTTCTTGAAGTTGGCAAGAGCAAAAATTCAGAGCTGGTTCGAGTCCAGCGAGAAGCAAAGTTTATGAAGCAAAGCATAAATGTGCACAGGAAACACCCAAGATGGCTACCTTCATCACCGGGAGTTCTCGGTGGCGGGGAGCAGAGTGTATGGGGGTGTCTTTCCTTGTCTGTCCAGAGAGGCAGGGTATTCTTCCCATTCTGTAGACTGGAAAGGTCTATTTTAGTCTCTGACCCAGTCTGTCATGGTGATTTGAGGATTTCTGCGTGACAGAGGAATGTCTAAGAAGAATGAGGGTGAGGAGGGGAAGGTCTATTTTAGTCTGCATGTGGTTGGACCAGATCTGTCATGGGGATTTTGGAGTGGAAGTCTTTGGGGGCAAGGAAGAGCTGACCACGCTCAATCTCTCTGGCTTCTGTTAAGCTGTGTTTTGGCCGGCCCTTAATTGCTAGGCTGCAGGATGGGGCTGGAGGGGAAGGAAGCTGGAGGGGAGGGCGCCTGGTGTCTAACTGCCTACTCTAACCACCTGGAGGTGGTGTTAGAAACCACAGGTTAGAAGGTCAAGGCCACAAAATTTCCTCTCTGCAGATATCCTGCCCTCTGGAATGTTCTACCTGGCAGGGGTTCCTATGACCCCTGTCCTTGGGAACCCTACTTTATTTGCTGGAATGGCTCACAGAACTCCAGGAACTACGCCATTACATTTGCCTGTTTAGTATAAAGGATTTACCAAATGTGAGATGGGCACTCACTCCAGGGCAGAGCCCCCTCAATTTATCCACTAGCGCTCAGAGCAATTGTAACCAGGGTCTTAGGGAGTGTCTGAGGGGAATCAGGGACAAAGGCCAAATACCCATTTCACAGCATCACCATCATGGTGCCTTACAATGTCTTGATATTGGACTTTTCTGTCAAACCCAGATTTTCATAATCATCTCACAGGACAGGAGTGAATAGTGAGAGGACGTTGGTGAGCGATTTAACGAGGGGCATAGGGATGGGGTGGGGAGAAAGGAGAAAGTCCTTTGGAACTCCTACCCGCATTTGGGGAATTTGGTGACTTCCCAGTTTGCCAGCTGTGTGTGGGAAGAACACACCTCCGTAGTACACAGTGGAAAACACCTGCGAGCCACACCCCTAGCTCCTGCGTCCTTCCCTTCTCTTCCTCGCTCAAGAAGCCAGAGCTGTGAGACCGTGGTGAAACCCTATAGAACGGAAGGGCCAGGCTGTCTGGTTGGATGAAACGGGAATTTAAAACCCAGATGTGTGCTGTGGATGTTTGGGAGTGGGGTTTCTCACAACTGAGCATCCTCTGGTAAAAGCAGTGGCTTCATAGTGCTTGTGGCTTGCACTGTGTGTGTAAGTGTTCGCGCGCACGCAGCTCCTCCCTCAGAGACAATGAATGGAGAATTCTCCCCTGAGCTCAGCGTTGAATTAATGGCTTGGCTCCGGCTGCTCTAGTACTACAACTCTTGGAATACGCGGCATCGATCGTCCTATTCAAATCACCTGGAGCGTGCCAGCAAGCCGGACCTCGCTGTTCCAGCCCGCGCCTCGGTCACGGATTGGAGTGGGCGTCTCCTGTTGCAGTTTACTCTCCCGGAGCCCTGGCCCGGGACGCGGGACCTATTCGAGGGCTCCGATTGGACCAAGCTCCTGTTCATCATCAAGAGCAGGAGGATTTGGAAGCCGAGCTCCGCCTCTGGAAAGCGGGAGAGTCAAGGGGGCGGTGCGCAGTGACGTTCTGCTGTGCTCACTGGACGGCTGCTGCGTCAGTCAGACTCCGCTCGGTTCCCATTGGCGGGAAGGCTCCGGGAGGGCGCGTGGACAGCCAGCTGCCCCCGCCCCGGGAGGGCTCCAGGCGCGTGACGTCTCCGACATTTGTTGTTGGGATTTGGGGGTCATTAATTATTCATGAGGTGCTTTGCAGGGACCGCAGTGATTGGTGCGGTGAGAAGCCGGGACCGACTATTCCTTTAGCTAGAGATAACGTGTCGCCCTCCTCACAGCACAGGCTTCGTATAAATTATTTCGCATGGGGGCGTGTCCTGCATAGATTAGGCAAATGAAGCCAGGAGGGAGGGAAACCGGCTGCGAATTAGCCTAAGTTATTAAAGATGGCGGCGGAGCGGAGTCGCTCCCCGATGGACTCGCCGGTCCCGGCCTCGATGTTCGCCCCCGAGCCCAGCTCCCCGGGGGCGGCCAGGGCTGCGGCGGCGGCCGCTCGGCTCCACGGGGGCTTCGACTCGGACTGCAGCGAGGACGGCGAGGCGCTTAACGGCGAGCCGGAGCTGGACCTCACCAGCAAGGTAGGCCCCGGCGGCGGCGGGTGCCGGGGGACCGGGCGGCGGGCCCCGCGGTCTCCGGGGCGACGGCTGGCCCCTGTCGGCGGGCAGCGAGGGGCGGCGAGAGGCGGCCGAGCCCGCCCACCTGCGGCTCTGCGGGGCGTGCGGGAGCCGGCGGCGCCAGGGGGACCGCCGCAGGGTGCCCCCATTCCGAGCCGGCCGCCGGGGCCTCCCTCCCGCCTTCCCGGCTCCCGCCAAGATCACAACCCCTGGGCATCGCCACGTGGAACGGGGGCGCGGGCGGCTGCCGCGCGGTCCCCGTTCCCGGTCCCCGCGCCCGGCTGCGCGCCGCATCCTCCTCGCTCGGTCCCCGGCTGGGGAGTGGGACCCCGAGGGGCTATCCCGGGCGGCCGGGGGGTGGGTGCCTCGTGGCGGGATCGGGACGTGGACAGAGGGGCGCGCGGGATGGGTCGCAGCCACTCCTCCTCTCGGGAAAGGAAACAGAAAGTCGGCGCTGGGCAGACGCGTGTCCGAGGGCGGGCACCTGTAATTCTAGGAGTGGGCCTTGTGCCCGGGACAGAGGCCAAGAACGAGGGGGCGTTTCACTTGATGTGGGCTGGGTGGGCGGGAGCCGGGGGACCACCACCTGCTTGTCGTGATGGGGACCAGAAAGTTAGCTTGTTAGGATAGCTCGCTGTGTTGATTCAACAACCCGCGGTGCCTCCCGGGGGGCGGGGGTACTTAGGCTAGACACACCTGTGGAGCTTTGAAATTGTGTATAGCTCCCGCTGGCACAGTCACTTGTAACTCAGGAGATACATTCCCCGACAGCCAGCCCCATGCCAGCTGTGTCCCGGCCACTGGCCTTCCAGAAGTCAGCCAGCTCCTGTGTGTCACAGTGGCCCTGCTAGGTGCTTCCAGGACCGACCAGGGAGGTGCCAGCTGACACAGGGAAGCTGTGCTATGTGCACCTGACTTGTAAGTGCCCAGCGCCCAGGGGCCCAGGTGCTGGGGAGGCCTGACTGCACGCTGGGAGACGGTGGGGCTTCCAGAGACAGGGAAGTATTACCTCAGCGCCCGGTGGGGAAGTGTGCCTCACCGGTCTGAAATGGAGCAGGCATGTGTGCCTGAAGACCATTATGCCCAGGAAGGAAGCTGCCTGCGGGGAGCTGCACGGGGGCGCGGCGGGGGGGCGTTAGAAGCTAGCAGCGGGGTGATTACTTAGCAATCAAATGATGGACCAAATGAGCCTCGGAAGGCAGCTTCAGGTACTGGCCAGCGTGGCTGGTGTCATCCGCGCAGGTTTTCCAACTCTGTGATGGTAACATACTGAGCTATGGACTCTTACTACATTTGGCCTTTGTGGGTCTTTTTTTTTTTTTTTTTTAATTTTTGTGTCTAAGATTTGTTTATTTGAAAAGCAGAGTGTTAGTTCTTCCATCTGCTGGTTCACTGCTGAGCAGGGATCATGCAGGATCCAGGATCCCCTTCCAGGTGTCCCACCTGGGTGCCAGGGACTCCAGGAGTTGGGCCTTTGTTCCCTGACTTCCTGGCTGCCCTCGCAGGAAGTTGGGTTGGCGACAGAGAAACCAGGAATCAAACCAGCACTCAGACATGGGATGCCAGCACCCGCAGGGGCTTAGCCCACTGTGCTTAGGACACCTGCTCCCTCATTAGGTATTCCTAGTGGCCATAGGATACCAGGAGTAACATTTTCATTTTGCAGATTGGACTGGGGCTCTTAGAGGTTAAGTTCTTTGTCCAAGATCACAGGCTAGAGGATGGGTCTGATGTGCTTGTTGGTACCTGAATGCCCAGAGGGTCCGCACCTTCAGGCTCTGGCAGAAATGTGCATGCTGCTGGAGCTGTTGTTCACCCTAGTGGCAGTGGTCCTGTGCTGATGATGACCCCCCAAGGGGGGGACAGTTTTCACCTGATTGGCAGACTGTCCAGAGAGCTGTCGCTGTGGGAGCCAGTGACCCAAGGGGAAGGTCATGGCCGGGCAGCCCCCCTCCCGCCTGGAGTGTCCTGTTCAGACTGCAGGGAGCAGACTTTGGCCTGAAAGCACAGAGCCCTGCCACGTGTTTTACCCACAGTACCTGGTGCTCAGTAGTTGGTCTCCCCCATGCCCACCCCTGCCCTGCTGAAGTGGCAGGTGGCTTAGACATGCCCAGTGTAGTGTATTCTGCCCAGGGAAGGGCTCAGGTTCCAGGCTGCTGGAGGAGAGGGGCCCAGCCAGGTAGCTGCTTGTGGTTAGGGTGCTGTGGCGTTCCCAGCGGGCCTTGGGTCAGCGTGGTCCTAAGGCTGTTGGTTTCTCTTCTAGCTGGTGCTAGTGAGCCCCTCGGCAGAACAGTATGACAGCCTCCTTCGGCAGATGTGGGAGAGGATGGACGAGGGATGCGGAGAGACCATATATGTCATTGGGCAGGGATCAGGTGAGCATAGCTTTCCTTTCACTTTCTTTGTGTTTGTAAACATGACGCAGAGCATGCTGTTCCTCTCCCTCTCCACCCAGCTGCCCCCACATCTCAGTTGCTGTGACTGTTGAGGGTCCTTTAGGGACCCCGAGCTCAGAGTGAACCTTCACTCTGCTCCATTTCCAGGTCCTGACGCATTCCTTCAAAGATTCACTTTCCTTAAGTCTTTCAGAGGCTTCCTTGCCACCTGCTGTATTCTCTATTTGCATAAAAGAAGCAACATCAGCAGCGCTGAGCAAGGAAGCTTCTTGTCGAGGGTAACCCAGCAAGTCCTAGTGAAGCTAACCCTGGTCTCCAGGCCGTGGCCGCTGGCTTCCTGCTCGGCAGAGGACCTCTGAGGCTCCTGGCACTGACTGCTGATGCTGGATGCTAGCCACTGGCCGGAAGAGATGCCCAGGATTCCTCCTCCGTCAGCTGGCCTTGAACCAGGGCCACACCCCCTGTTCCATCTGGGTGGCGGTGATAACGCAAGGTTTCTTCTCTCCCCCACAAGAGCCTGTCAGACGGGTAGGCTTATTGTCACCATTCTGAAAGGGACCAGTCATTGTCCCCCAGCCTCTTCTCCACTGGTGTGACCGCCCCCATGGCACAGCCAGATCACGGTGGGGGCTCTTTATTCCTTGCCTGCTCCTGGCCACTCCCCTTCACAAGAGGCCGCGTGCCTTCATCTTGATTCTGACATCATCTCTGCTAAAGTGACATCATCTCTGCTAAAGTGACAGCTGGGGGCTCCCCACGGGCAGCCTGGGCCTGTCAGTGTCACAGGAAGCCCGCATTGGAGAGGCCATTGTCCCAGCTCATGCAGGCTGCAGAAAGGCAAGTCCTAACCCACCAGCATCCTTCTTCAAGTGTGTGAGCTGCTCCTATTCAGGGTCTCCTGAGGCTGGATACTGTTGCAAAGTTCTTTTGGCTACTTAAAATCAGTCCTGGCCCCAGGAGGCCGACAGTGGGAGGTAAGCACAGGTGGCCTAGACAAGGATTCCCTGTAGTGAGCTGCTGGGTCTTCCTCCACAGAGCCCCCTCCTGGCCCACCTGCCTTTCCCATTACTGCTGCCACCTTCCCAAATGCTAAAGGAAAGCTTGGTCAGACAGGCCCACGGGGCTGTACATGGAAGGCAGGGGAGCAGTGGGGCCACATGGTCATGGGCTGTACATGGAGCAGTGAGTGTCAGGCCAGCAAAGGTTGTTCCCCTGGCAACCTGGTGCACGCACAGCCACCTTTCCTAGGGATCTCATGGAGTTCCAGGAGCTGCTTGTGTGTTAGTTGTAGTCAGTGTCGGACTCAGACCCTGGATACCGCCCCACCACTCCTCATTTCCCTCATCCTTTAATATGGACTCAGGGAGCTGTACCCGCCTTGGCAATGCACAGCTAATTAACCCTCCCGCAGCAAAGCGTAGGATGTCAGGCACTCATTATGCCACCTGCACAGCCCAGCCTTGTCCTGCATCTGCCAGTGGGACGCCATCAGACTCCATGACTCCTTCCTGCTGGAATCCCTCAGAGGGAGAAGGAGAGTGCAACTAGTTAAACAGGTCCACCATTAAACAGGACCGGACCAGGCTGGGCGCCCCGAGTTCTCGCAAATGCCATGGATTTGGCCCTGTCACTCCCACTCTGCCTCTGTGATGTGGATAATGATATCCTTCCCACCTTAGTTCAGAGTTCTAAATTAAGATTTTTTTAAAAAGATTTATTTTATGGGCTGGACACAGTAGCCTAGTGGCTGAAGTCCTCGCTTTGCACATGCTGGGATCCCATATGGGTGCCAGTTTGTATTCTGGTGGCACGGCTTCCCTTCCAGCTCCCTGCTTGTGGCCTGGGAAAGCATTCAAGGACAGCCCAAAGCCTTGGGACCCTGCACCGGCGTGGGAGACCCGAAAGAAGCTCCAGGCTCCTGGCTTTGGATGGGCTCAGCTCTGGCCATCGCGACCACTTGGACAATGAACCAGCAGATTGAAGATCTTCCTCTTGGTCTTTCCTCCTCTTTTAAAAGATTTTATTTTTGGAAAGGCAGAGCTGAGCTGAGCTGAAGCCGGGAGCCACGGCTCCCATGTGGGTACAAGATCCCAAGGACTTAGGCCATGCTTTACTGCTTTCCCAGGCCATAAGCAGAGAACTGGATCAGAAGTGGAACAACCAGGACATGAATTGGCACCCATATGGGATGCCGGTGCCACAGGGTGGAGGATTAACCTGCACCTCCAGACCCTGGTTTTATTTTGTTTTGTTTTTCAGTTCTAAGCAGTGCAAAGGCATGCGGTCCTTAAATGCAGATTCTAAGTTCAAGGTCAGTAATTTGAAGGGGCAGTACAGCCTAGCAGCTAGCATCTGCAGCCTGGCAGGTCCAGGTTTCTGCTGATTCATGGGGATAATGCGAGGAGCTATCTTGTGCTGTAACCTTGGACACTCAGGTGCTAAGGCAGGACTCTCTGAGATTGGAGAAATGTTCAATCTTTGTGGGGTTGTTAGGAAAGGCTGCCCTGAAGGTACAAGGACATCAGTTGACATATACCATGTACTACATGTGTAGCTAGCATGGGAGTTTGTACTACAGGAATGTTAACTGGCATTAGTAACTGCAGACCTTTTAGGACTAGCATGGGGCTTAGTGGGTGAAGCCTGTTGCCTCCCATGCCCCCATTTATATGCGTGCATTAGTGTCCCAGCTGCTCCACTTCTAATCTAGCTCGCTGTTAAATGGCCTGGGAGAGTGGCATAAATGGGCCCCTGCCACCCACCATGGGTACTCTTGGCTACTGGCTTAGGCCTTGCCCAGCCCTGGCTGTGAGAGCCATTTGGGCATTGAGCCAGTGGTTGGAAGATTCTGTCTCTCCCTCTCTCTGTACTCTGCCTTCCAAGTAAATCAATAAATCTTTAAAAATAAACCTTTGTTTTCTTTTTCTTATGGAAGACAGAGAGAAACAGTTTCCATCCACTAGTTCTTTCCAAGGCTGCTGTGGGCCAGACAGGAGCCAGGAGCCCAGGACGCTGTCAGTCCCGGATCAGCAGCGTGGATCACAGTAATTGAGTCATCTCCTGCTGCCTCCCAGGGTTGATCCTAAGTAGGAAGCTGGATCGGACTCAGCTGGGACTTGAACTAGATACTCGAATGTGGGCCTCTAAATAGTGTCTTCACTGTTTACACTGCCCCGCGACAGTGATTTGTTTTAAGGGCCCACGTTGTGGTGATGCCCTTTGAAATTTCTTTCAGAGGAGCCTTGGGCATGCCTCAAGTGCTAAGCCAGCACTTTCTGAGACCGGAAGAAATGTTCAGTCTTTGCGGGGGAGTTGGGAAAGGCTGCCCTGAGGGCTGATGCAGGCAGTGCAGAAGGCAGGTGGAGGGAGTCCCGTGGCCAGCGGCGTGGCCGTGTGCAGCCTGCAGGGCCTTGGCTGGGCAGGAGCAGCCCGTGAGATAGCACTGTTGGGAGGAGAGACGGGCCCAGCAGAAGTCAGGGGCCCCTGAACACTTGTGCCCAAAAGGTCAGGCTTTTATCTTATAGTCTGGGAGCCTGGGGCAGCCCATTGAGCCGGAAAATGCCAGAAAGAAAGGTGAATGAACTGGCAGTTGCGCTTAGGGTCAGGCATGATTGCATGTGACCTTTCAGTCGGCCGTCTCTCTCTTGGCCTTGGGCTCCATTCCTGCAGAGTGAGGAACACGGTGTGAGCCAGAGAAGGGGCTTGGGGTGCTCTGCGAGCCCTGATGGACAGGGCAGCCTTGACAGCAGGTCTTGCTGCGGAGCTGGGGAATGAGGTGTGGTGTGGGAGAGGGAGGATGGCGAGGCTGGCAGTGCTGCTGCGAGCTCTTCTCCCACCCCGCAGGCGGCCCAAGCTCACTCCTCAGCCCAGCTGCTCCTTCTTGCTCATTTGTTTTACGTTTTACAAACATTTGAGAGTACCTCTCACCGCTGCCCCCGCCCCCCGTACTGAATGAGACATCCTAATACTCAGTCTGTCTTGTGGGGAGGCCACGTACACAAAGCACTGTGACCCAAGGCCACTTGGGTGAACTTGGTGAGGGAGACCGAGCATGCGTACTGGTGGGCTGAGTCTGGGGGCAGAGCGAGGGCTGTGCTGGGCACTGGGTGTGGATGACACCTGGACCACTAGGCCAGCGCCAGAGCTCTGGAGGAGAGGTGTGGGATGGTTGGGGATCCTTAAGGAATTGGGGTGAGAGCACTGTTGGGCCTGGGGAGCCCTTTAGAGCCTTGGACTTGGAAGTAACATCAGTGCTGTGGCTTCCTTAAGGGACTCACAGGTGGGAGGGGGCACGGAGTTAGACAAAATGGAGCCAGGTAGCTCAGAGCAGGTGAGGATCCCCTTTGCTGGTTGCTGGAACAGGCTGGTGGCAGTGGGTTGGTGAGCAGGGTAGATGACAAGAGGATGGGTGAGTTCCAACGCCTGGGTCACCAGGCCACCTTGCTGGGACTGTGGAGCTTGGGCAGCTAGAAGGACATGGCTGTGACCCAACTTTGGGTGGGCTGAGAGTGGGAGCTCTCTGGGTTCTTGGGATGGGCGGGCCTAAATTTGCAGGGCCACTGTGCCACCTCCCGGCCCAAATGCACTGGGTGCACTGCCCCTCTGTGAAGAGGGCTCTATGACACCCCCCTTGAACAGGCAGCAAGACGCAGTGCTTTGTCAGGTGCCCAGTGTCCAGGCTGGCAGGGGTCAGGGTGCGGTGGTGAGGTCTGGACTCAGGACTGAGGGATTACTGTGCAGGCAGAAAAACCAAGTACTGGGCTTTGGGAAGCAGACAGTGCCAGACCTGACTGCTGCTGTAGCTCTCAGAGTGACAGGTGACTCCGAGGGAGGTTGGGAGTAAAGAGAAGAGGCTCCCACAGGGTGATTGGCTAAGTGGAGCAGCCGGTACGTGAACCACTGCCCATATGGATTCTGGCACTCGAGTAGGGAGGATTAGGCAATTGAGCTGTCACTCCGGACCCTGGATTCTTCATGAGATATTTGCTGGCCTGCGGAAGCCCTGAGGAAACAACTGTTAAAGTAGGTCATTGGGGCATCTTTATATAGGGGTGACCCGAGCTCATTTGTAGAGGAGAGAAGAGAAAATGGGGTGCATCCTTGGTACCCCCAAGGCTTTTTGGAGGCGGTGAAAGATCAGGCCTGCTCAGGGTGGTTGGGCCAGCCCTGGGGTGGAGTGGGGCTCTTGGGGACAGGATGTGGCCATATGGGGAGCGCCTAGGAGAGGCGGGTGTGCTCTAACTGCTCAGTTGGTCTGCCCATCGGACTGTCTATACCCCTGAGTTGATGCCCATTTTCCAGGTGGCCTGCTGGGCACCTCACCTGAGCCATCTCAGTTCCCCTTCTCATTGCCCGTAGCTCCGTCCTCATCTTCTAAGCCTGGCGTGCCACACAGCTTTCCTAAAGACTCCCTCTCTGGTCTGCTTGCTGCTTCCCTCTCTCCATGTCCATCATGTCTTTCTAAGCCACAGCCCGCCCTGTGGTCATACCCTGGCCTGGCCGCCACCCCCACCGGCTTCCCGCTGCCCAGTGCACAGGTGTCTTGTGGCAGTGTTGTGTCCATCCCACACCCCAGCTTCTGCCTCACCTTCTCTCACCTCCCCTCTCCTAGTCCTGCTCCTGAACACTCCAAGCCGCTTCCATACCCCTGAATGTGCCAGGGTCAGCCATGCTCCAAGGAGTGCTTACTCCTTTCTCTGCCAACTCATTCCTCACCAAAGGGCCCTGGTTTGGACACTGGCAAGGGAGGAAAGTTTCATCTCCCTTACTCAGTTCTGTGGCTCAGCACTCAAGCCATGCTATCCTTCATTCCTTTGCTGGCTGCTGGCTGCCTCCTGCCCAGCCAGGAGCTCACGAGGGCATCTGTATTCCCAATGCCCCGCACGGGGCTGGCACAGATCTGGGAGAGGCTCAGTGCTTGCTGTTGAGTGAGTTGCCTGGTCTCTACTCAGTGGTATGCCCATGGTACTATGTCCTACTGTGCACCTGCCCGTGCGTCTTCCTGAGGCAGAACACGCCATGTTTTCCCTCTGGGACCAGACAGCACTTTGTAGGGGAGGTGGCTGGCTGGGCTGGCTCCTCTCCCTTGCTCTGACATCTGGGCTGTTGTCACCAGATGGGACTGAGTATGGGCTGAGCGAGGCCGACATGGAGGCTTCCTACGCCACTGTGAAGAGCATGGCAGAGCAGATCGAGGCCGATGTCATCCTTCTGCGGGAACGGCAAGAGGCCGGGGGCCGTGTGCGGGATTACCTGGTCCGGAAACGCGTAGGAGACAATGACTTCCTGGAGGTCAGGTGAGGCGGCGTCCTGGGCCTAGGGGCAGGGCTTCCCGGAGCAGGTGTCAGTTCCACCCCTGCCCTGCTGCTCCCGAGGCAGGAGGCCAGTGTCCAGGGTGTCCAAATTCCCTTCCCATCCATTCCTGAGTTGTGAAGGAGTGGTGGGCAGCTCCGCTGGCTGTGCCAGTTTCTTGTCAGGACAGGAACCCAGGGAATGGTTTGGGGAGCACTCTGGGTTCCTCTGGGAACAGAGGGCACTAAGGGAGAAGCCCAGTCCTCTAGAAGGGTTTCTTCTGCTCCCCATTTGCAGCCCAGGGCTGTGCCTGGCATGCTGCCCTGGGAGCCGGAGAGCTCGCGGCCAGCCTGGCCGAGTAGCCCGTGCCTGCAGCTCTGAGGGTCTCTTACCTCTTCCCAACTAACTCGCACGGGCATGTGGGTCATGTACACGCAGGGTAGCAGTCGTAGGCAACGTGGACGCTGGCAAAAGCACACTTCTGGGTGTCCTGACCCACGGGGAGCTGGACAATGGCCGAGGCTTTGCCCGCCAGAAGCTCTTCCGCCACAAACACGAGATTGAATCGGGCCGCACCAGCAGCGTGGGCAACGACATCCTGGGCTTCGACAGTGAAGGCAACGTGGTGAACAAGCCCGACAGCCACGGCGGCAGCCTCGAGTGGACCAAGATCTGCGAGAAGTCCACCAAGGTGATCACCTTCATCGACCTGGCCGGCCACGAGAAGTACCTGAAGACCACTGTCTTCGGCATGACGGGCCACCTGCCCGACTTCTGCATGCTCATGGTGTGTGAAGGGGTGCAAGGGTGGGGCGGGGAGGACCCATGCCAGGGTAGGGCAGTCTCCCAGGGGGATACTGGCTGGGGTGGGCACCCAGTCCTGTGTGGGCTTCTTGAAGCGCCGAGCTTGATCTTGCCACCTGAGGGCCAGGAGGGGGTCCCGTTGGCAGAGGCCAGGCTGTCATTTACAGCGTGCTGTTGGGTTTTGGTGTGGCGTGGTGGACATCTCCATGACTACATGAGGAGGCGCTATAGGTGGCAACCTCACATTGGGGAGTCCCTGAGAGGGCCTGGGAGGTGGCCCCTGCCAGAGCTGGGGAGGAAACAGGCTCAGCCGACACACATGTGTGTGGCCAGAGGTCCCAGTGCCCGTTGTGGTGCTGGGCCTTGTGATGCAGTGTGAGCAGGCCAGCACGGACCTCACAGGGAGCCCGTGGATTGGCAAGTAGGTGTTGAAGCAGCTCAAGTAGGGTGACTGGCAAGGAGAGGGGACAGCAGCTAAGCCCGCATGCGTGTCCTGGCCCTCGTCCCCTCTGGACACGGTGGGGTTGGTGAGGCCGCCATCTCGTGCACAGCTCCATGGAAGGGGTGGTAGCAAGAAGCCAGGTTTCCTGTCAGTGTCCCCGGCTGCCCACTTTAGGTGTAGTAAACACAGGCATCTGTTCACAGCCAAGCAAGTCACCCCTCAAATGAACCACTGAGCTCAGGCTCCTTGAGCCAGAACGGGGGAGCGGGGCATGGCGGAGTGCTGAGCACCTGTCAGTGCCCCACCTGAGCGTCTTGGGCTCCTGGCAGTCTCACTTCCCCTGCCCTCCATGCCGTGTAACACTGCCGAGGCCCTCTCACTCCTCTCACCTACCCGGGGAAAGCTGCTCATCATGAAGGGTCTCCATGGGCATGTCACAAAGTAGACCTAGGGCGCTTGTGTAGTTGATATCAAGAAGGTTAAGGAAACCAACTTGTTCATTTATCTTTAAAGATCAGGCCTAACGTGGTAGCATTGTAGCTGAAGTCCTTGCCTTGCATGCAGCAGGATCCCATTTGAGCACAAGTTTGTGTCCTGGAAGCCCCACTTCCCGTCCAACTCCCTGCTTGTGGCCTAGGAAAGCAGTTGAGGACGGTCCAAAGCCTTGGGACCCTGCCCCCGCATGAGAGACCCAGAGAAACTCCTGGCTTCGGAGTTGACTCAGCTCTGGCCATTGCAGTCACTTGGGGAGTGAATCATCGGATGGAAGCTCTTCCTCTCTATATATCTGGCTTTCTAATTAGCTTATTTGGAAAAGAGTCAGTGAGAGATAGAGCAACACTTAGATCTTCGTTGGCTGCTTCACTCCCCAAAGAGCCATAAAACCAGGGCTGGGCCGGGCCAAAGCAGGGCCTGGAACTCCATTTGAATCTCCCACATGGGTGGCAGTGGCCTAAGCATCTGGGCCATCTTCTGCTTTGCCAGATGCATTGGCAGAGATCTAGATGGCAAGTGGGGCAGCTGGGACTCAGTGCGCACCTGCTTCCTGCTCGGGTCCACCCTGGGAGGCAGCAGGTGATGCTTCAAGAACTAGGGTCTGTGCTACTCACCTGGGAGACCAAGGTGGAGTTGGAGGCTGTGACAGGCGTTTAGGGAGTGAACCCTGTGTATAGGGGACATCTGTCTCTCTCTCACTCTTTGCCTCTCAAATGAAATGATTGTGCAGTGTGAAGACAGCAGAGTGGTAGAGCGCTCTCACCCATATCGCAAGGGAAAAGGACTGGAGAGGAGGTGGGTGGGAAGACGAAGGCTGGGGGGATGATTGTGGCGGCATCCTGGTGGGGAGGCAGGGTCAACAGCGTCCCCTGGTCAGTGATGGTCCCCTGGGGGTGGTGACAATCAAATGGCACGTCACAGGGAGGCATGAGGTGCACTGTGCAGGCACTGTGCCCTTTGCTCTTGTTTTTTTATGGGGTTTCAGTGGGTAATCACTGGGTTCCACAGCGGGAAAGACACTGAGGGTTCAGTTGAAACCTCCCTCTGCCCAGCTTGCTCCCAGGGATAACCTGTATTTCTAGTTTCTTGTGAGCCTGCAGTGCCGTCTTGCACTCCCACCACTAGAGTCCACGCATGACCAACATCACAGACCTACAGTTTCGATGCCCAGATAATTGGCATTTTCTATGCATGGTGGATACAAATGTGGGTGTGTGTCTTGTTGGGTTGTTTTGGTTTGAAGTTGTTCAGTTTCTTTGGCTGAGTTCATTGAAAGTAGGTTGGAGCCGCCCCTCTCAGCCACACATGCTCTGCACACGCTCTCCGAGTGAGGCCTGTTCCTGCGAGCAGGGGACAGCACCATGCCCGCCGGGCGCACATGTGCCCCACAAGCCTGACCGCTGCTTGCTTTTCACACACTGCTCATGGCACTGGCCTCACAGCTGCTTTCCTCCAGCAGAGACCCCGTCAGCTCACCTGTGAGAGCACTCGACACTATACACACTTGACTTTTCTCCCTTCCCTTTTTTGTTTAAGATTTATTTTTTAATTTTTTTTTTTATTGGAAAGTCATATACAAACAGGAGAAGAGACGGAGAGGAAGATCTTCCATCCAATAATTCATTCCTCAAATGGCCCCAATGACCACAGCTGAGCTGATCAGAAGCCAGGAGCCAGGAGCTTCTTTTGGGCCTCCCACACGAGTGCAGAGTCCCAAGGCTTTGGGCTGTCCTTGGCTGCTTTCCTAGGCCACAAGCAGGGAGCTGGAAGGGAAGCAAGACCACTGGGACAGGAACTGGCACCCATATGGGATCCCAGCATGTGCAAAGCGAGGACTTCAGCCACTAGGCTACTACACTGGGTCCTTTTTTCTCCCTTCAAAGCCTATCTTGAGAGCATGCATGTGGCCTGGATGTTAAGCCGTTGCTTGGGACACACATGTTGCATGTCTGATGGTGACCTTGGCTCCTTACTAACGCGGTCCCTGGAGGGCGAGGGCAGCAGCAAGCAGGTGGGCTCAAGGCTCCCTGCTCCAGCCCCTCTGGCCTCTGCGGGCCTCTGGGCATGGACCAGCAGTCGGGAGCGTGCACACCGGCTTGCTGTCTCTTTCTTTGTCTCTTGAATAAGTACATTATTTAAAGAGTTTTTTAAGGAAATTATCCTATATGAGCAGTAAGTTTGTCCTCTTGTGTGACACATTTTGCCCATTAGCCTGGCTGTAGGGCACTCTTCCAAACCTGCTGTCCCAGGAAGCAGCAGTGAAAGTCCAGCTGTTGCTGCCTGGGCATCGAGTTCATGTGCTCACGTCCAGACCCTTTGTGTGTGTTATGGCATTTTGACCTCAGCCGACCCCCTAACATGGGCTGGTTGCCCTCCTATGTGTGTATAGGGATGCTCAGAGCCAAGGCGGGAAGCTGAATCCACCCTGCTGGGCTTGTCTTGTACCCCATCCACAAGTCTATGTCTAGCTGCCCAGCCTGGTTAGCGGGGCCAGCCTTCCTCGAGTCCCTGTGCTCACCTCGCACACTGACGGCCCTTTCCATGTTGGGGACAGGTGGGCAGCAATGCTGGCATCGTGGGCATGACCAAGGAGCACCTGGGCTTGGCACTGGCGCTGAATGTACCCGTCTTCGTGGTGGTCACAAAGATTGACATGTGTCCTGCCAACATCCTGCAAGGTGAGCGAAGCCCCTCTTCCCTCCACCTTGCTGGTGGCGGCAGAATGCCCCCTGCCCCGCACGCTTGGTCCTAGAGAAGGTGGCAGCCTGAGCCTGCTGTTTGCCCTTCCAGAGACCCTGAAGCTGCTGCAGCGCCTTCTGAAGTCTCCGGGCTGCCGGAAGATCCCCGTGCTGGTACAAAATAAGGATGACGTGATCGTCACCGCCTCCAACTTCAGCTCTGAGAGGTGAGGCGGGAGCGGCCCTCTGGCGGGTCTTAGGATGCTCTCAGGGCAGCCTGGTAGTGCTGCCCAGGGCCTGCTTCAGGTGCCCCATTGTTCTGAGGTGCTGGCCGCCCGAAGCTGCAGTCCCAGCTGTGTATGTGACCCAGAAATAACCTCCCCCAGGGCTCTCAGGAGTGTCAGGAACAGTGTGTGAAGTACTTAGCGCTTAGCTGTCTGGCACGCGGCAGGTGCACAGCAGGCTTTGTAACTGTCCTTGTGCACTTGTCTTGTTTCTTGAGAAAGTTCCCTGGTCACGGATTGGCTCAAGCGCTTAAGTTGCTCATGTATCCGCTTGTTCTAAGTGTTTATGGGATGCATGTTCTGGGGGCTTCCTGCAGACCTGGGGGATTCAGAGTTGCCTCTGGCAGGCTTCACTGTGTTCTGTGCTTTGGCCCAGGCATCTGCATGGTGAAGGTGAAGCTGGTCAAGAACTCTGGGGCTTTCCCTGGAGCCCCGCCTCCCAGGAAGCAGCACCTGCCTTCTGCCTCAGCTTGTCTGGGCCTGCAGGGCTGTGGGCCTTTTCTGTCTGTTCCTAACTGACGAGCAGAGAGTGCACGTTTCAGACAGCCCCATTTCTGCCAACAACCCATTCTGTGTAGGTGCTGCTCTAAGCAACTTCTTTTAGATGAGATTGATTTATCTGAAGGCAGTACAAGGATGGAACAAACATATCTACCATCCACTGGTTCACTCCCAAAATAGCCATGGCAACCAGGGCTGAATCAGGCCAGAGCCCGGAGCCAGGAACTGCATGCTGGTCTGACACAGATGGCATGGACCCAGGTCTATGGGCCGTCGCCTGCGGCCTTCCCAGGTACAGAAGCGCAGAACTGACGTGGGAGCAGAGAAGCTAGAACACGAACCAGCACTCTGAATGAGATGCTGGGATTGCAAGTGGCAGCTTGACCTACTGTTCTAGTTGGATTCCTGATCTCAAGGTTAATTCACCCCAAACAGGAGAGATAGAGGCCATTTAGATGGCTCTGGAAAAACCAGACATAGTCATGTGTGACAGTGATACAGAAAGTTCTCCGGGAGCCCCAAGGAGTGAAGAGTGTCCGTCGGGAAGGGCTTCGTGGAAGAAATGGTCCTGGAGGTGCACTTGGAAGACCGGAAGGGTTTGGTGCTGGATAGCAGGGGGCATTCGGGATGGAGGAGGAGCAGTGGAGTGAGCGAACCCCCACAGGCCAGGTGGGGCCGAGCGAGGGTGAGGGAGGGCCTCTGGCGTGGCTGCAGGCACGAGCTTAGAGAAGAGCACATGGCGGAGCCCATGAGCCTGCGTGGGGAAGGGGCAGGTGGCTGAGGATCCCACGCAAGCCCCTGTGTGCCTGCACAAGGGCAGTCACCAGGCTGCACGATGGGCAGTAGTGGAAGGCCAAGGAGTGGGCACTGTCTTAGGGTCTCGCACCTAAGAGAAGGCTGGGAGCAACTTGGTCTAGGAGGGCTGGGGTGAGGGCAGAGGGTTGGGCCATCTCCCCGAGCCATACACACACAGGCAGGGAAGACAGGCTGGGTCGGCGGTGGCAGTGCCTGCCCTGGGTCCTCGAGCGGTCCCCACTGGTGCCTGAGCCCTCTCTCCTCTCTTCTCTCCCTTCTCCTGCCACTCAGGATGTGCCCGATATTCCAGATCTCCAACGTCACGGGTGAGAACCTGGACCTGCTGAAGATGTTTCTCAACCTCCTCTCGCCCCGCACCAGCTACCGAGAGGAGGAGCCAGCCGAGTTTCAGATCGACGACACCTACTCGGTGCCGGTGCGTGGCACGGGCCAGCCCCTGTCCATGGGATGGGCCAGCTGGGCCGGACTCGCTGGGTCAGCGTCTCCTCCTTCCAGGGAGTGGGGACTGTGGTGTCAGGGACGACGCTGCGTGGCCTCATTAAGCTGAATGACACGCTGCTGCTGGGCCCGGACCCCCTGGGGAACTTCCTGTCCATCGCTGTCAAGTCCATCCATCGGAAGCGCATGCCTGTCAAGGAGGTGCGGGGTGGCCAGACAGCCTCCTTTGCCCTCAAGAAGGTGAGTGCCCTGCTCCTGGGCCCCGTGGACTGCGGCGTGCAGGCTCCAAGGCTCTGCTGTCCCTCTGCAGTCCCCGTGTCTGCTGGATGAGGTTACGAGCCCCTCCCTGGAGTGTGCAGCTGAGCAAGACTCAAGCCAGGCCCCTGCCTGAGTGCTGTGATGAATGGGGAAGCTGCCTCTTGCTTGTGGAGGGTCCACGCAGAGGCCCAGGGCTCTCCACAGCCCGCTTCCTTTATCTCCTGGGCTTGCTCCCTAGCCCAGGGGGAGTGGACCTTGTCTGCTTCCATCCCTGCTCCTCTGGCCCTCCCCAGGCTCAGACCCCCACCTGCCCTTCAGGGGGCCACAGGTGGCAGAGCATTTCCTGACCCCCACATGGGTGGCCCCTGGGCTTCCTGCCCTGAGGGCCTGTCCTTGTGGCCAGGGAGGAAGTGCAGGGATGGGAGAGCAGCCAGCAGCAGTGCGGGTGGACCCTCTCTTGCAGATCAAACGCTCGTCCATCCGCAAGGGCATGGTGATGGTCTCCCCGCGCCTGAACCCCCAGGCCTCCTGGGAGTTTGAGGCAGAGATCCTGGTCCTGCACCACCCCACCACCATCAGCCCACGCTACCAGGCCATGGGTAGGTGTTCACAGCCCTGCCAGCCTGAGGCCTGTTCCTCCCCCCACTCCATAATATAAGCACTTGCCTGGGGCCTGGCCCCAAGGCGCTGACTGGCCCTCAAGGCCAACCTAGCAGCATCTTTAGTGGTTGAACACCTGTGTGCCAAGAAGCCCTGAGGAGCTAGGGGCGGAGATGGGCACTGCAGGGCCCTGCCTCTAGGAAGGCCACACGGCAACCTGAGGGCTCGGGGCGAGAGCATGTGGGGGCAAGGGCAGGTCACTCGGATGTGTGAGCCTCGCTGGGCCCTTCATACTGAGTGCCTCCAACCTGTCCTTGCCTGCTGGCTTCTGGCAGTGCACTGTGGGAGCATCCGACAGACGGCCACCATCCTGAGCATGGACAAGGACTGTCTGCGGACTGGGGACAAGGCCACTGTGCACTTCCGCTTCATCAAGACCCCCGAGTATCTGCACATAGACCAACGGCTGGTGTTCCGAGAAGGCCGCACAAAGGCCGTGGGCACCATCACCAAGGTAGGCCACCCCAGGCACCTGGAATCCTGCGGGACAGGGCTGACACGTGGCCCTCTGCTACTCTTCCCTGAGCAGTGCCCCCGGGCCTCCTGTCCTGGGCTTTGACCATGACGGTGGGAGAGGGAAGGTGGGGCTGGGGTCAGCCTCTCTCCGCTGTGATGGGAAATGGCTGGGGCTGTGCCTGGGCTCCCCCATCTCGTGCATGTGGGAGGCTGAGGGTGTGTGCCTGATGCCTGGGTCCATCTCTGGAGACATTGCCCCTGGCCTTGGGCAGTGCTGGAACAAGCACACTCCAGCTTTGCCCTGGCTCAGGCGTTGGAGTCAGCCTCAGGAGACTTGTAGTGCACAGGGGTGGTACGTGCTGGCCTGCAGCTGTGGGGTCAGAGGCTACCCCGCTCCTTTGAGGTTGATGTCGGCTTCAAGGGCAGCCTTGCATAAACTATGAGACCTTTGCCCATCTTCTGGGCGGCCTGGGCCCAAGCTGGGGCCTGTGGCACAGCGGTCTCTGGGGCCAACGTCCTGGGCACAGAATGGGGACAAGAATGCCTCTCCATTTTCTGCCATGGCCCTGCCCAGGAGCTGCCAGGTGGGGCATGAGAGGAGGGTTGGGGGCATGGGGTGGGCTGCTGAACAGATGCCACAGTCCTGGCCCCAGCCCCGGCCTCAGGCCCGGCCTCAACCCCACCCTTTGGCTCCCACAGCTGCTGCAGACCACCAACAACTCCCCCATGAACTCCAAGCCCCAGCAAATTAAAATGCAGTCCACGAAGAAGGGGCCCCTGACCAAACGTGATGAGGGGGTCCCCCCTGGCGGACCGGTAGTAGGAGCTGCTGCCCCTGGAGATGAAGTGGCCTCTCTCGGGGCTGCCCAGCCAGCTGCATCCAGTGGGCTCCTGCCACAGGTGAGCGTGGCATGGGGAAGCTGGGGCCAGCTGTCTCGGCGTATGCCCTTGCTCATAGGACACACATGGCTGCTTTCCTTGGTCTTACTGAAATTGAGCAGAAACATGCCAAGATTTCCCTCCCAGGTCAGGGAGAGGACAGGGACAGGGTGTGCTGTGGGCCTACAGTTGGCATGTCCCTGGGTCCCTGGTGCCCCACTTCTCGAGTCCCCTCCTCCTGGCTCCTCTATATGAGCTGCCACCAGCTGTGGCTCCCCACCTCCTCTGGTCCTGGCACCAGTGTCCTCCCACTCCATTCTGCACAGCCGTCACCTGTGTCTCTCCTACCTTGCCAGAAGACTCTGGGGGGCAGAGGGAGGGCAGCGCATGGGGTGCGGTCTCCTCGTCTCACTTGCCCCCATCTCTCTTTCAGCCCAAGCCCAGCAGCGGGGGCCGCCGACGAGGGGGCCAGCGGCACAAGGGGAAGTCCCAGGGCGCCTGTGTGACCCCTGCCAGCGGCTGCTGAACCTGCCCCCCCACCAGGGGAGCCTGCGCTCCGGCCCCGGCCCCGCCCAGCTGCGGGGCGAGCAGCTCTGGCCCCGCCCTCCCTGGGCCCCCGTTTTCCGGGGGGCTGAGATTTATAGCTGAGGCAGGTGGCCAGACTTGAGGACTGTCTCCTGTCCTCCTCCTCACTCACATTTTTTGTACATCTGGGCCCTTAGTTTTTATTCTTTCTATGATATATCTCTACCCAGTGTGCGTGTGTGCGTGTGGTGCAGGTGTGCAGCTAGCCAGGGCCCCGGGTCTCCCTTTCTCCTCCGGGAGTGGCCCTGCCTGTCCGTCCGTCCGTCCACCCGTTCCCTTGTCTGTCTGGGTGAGCTCCTCAGGGCCTCTAGAGCCTGCAGACCTTCTCCATCTTGCTGCTCCCTCCCTGGCTCTCGAGGTCCCTCCCTGAGCCGGGCTCTGGGCTGAGGGGCCCCTGGGGGCTGGCGTCTCCTGCTGCCAGAGCCGGGAGCCCCTCATCTCGGGGCAGAGCGTGGCTCTCCCTTCTCCCTTCCTCGTTCCTTCTTAAGCCCCCAAGCAGGTGATGCCGTGATGCCAAAATCACCTTGCTCATGGCTTGGAGGTGTGCAGGTGGGAGTGGCCGTTGGGTTGTTGGCCACTTCTGGTCCCGCTGACCTAAAGACAGCTGGTGGGCTTTCCCCCAGAGACAATCCTGTGGTGGCCTGGCTGGCCCTGGCCAGCCCAGAGGCTCACACCCTGCTGGACTGTGGTTCTGGCTGGGCTTCTGCGTGCCGGTGACCTAGCCAGGCCTTGCTTGGGATCCTGTTTTCCAGCCTCACCCGTTGGTGGGAGCAGGAGTGGGGAATATTCCTCTGTGCCTACCACATGGCCCCCACACTGCTGCTGCAAGGCACAAGGATGGCCTGAACCCCACTTCAGGAGCCCCACTTGGGGTGTGGGGTGGGCAAAACACAATTTGCCGTCTGGTAGCACTGTGGCTTCCAGTAGAGGGTGGGGCTGCACCTGCCAGCATAGGTGCCAGCCCAACCCTGCCGGCCTGGTCTCTGCTCCATGCCCTCGGATTGGGGTGAGCTGACAGGGGTGCGCTCTTCTGCCCAGGAGGATACTCAGCTAGCCGGGGCAGATACCTTCCCTGAGCCGAGCCTCTGTCCTGTGCCCAGCCCTTCACTTCCTCCTGCTTCCCGGCTGCTCATCCTCTTCCCCTCGTCCCAGTGTTCTAGTTACCACTGACCCATGAACTGACCAGACCAGCATTCACAATAAAAGTCTGTTCCGAGTTGACAGTGTCCATTCCCTGCTTGGCGCCCAAGTGATGGTGCTACTGAACACTGCCAGAAGGCATAAGCTCCTGGCAGCTGCAGGACCCCAGGCCAGCCGCCTGTTCCCTCATCTACCCCGGGCAGCAGATACAGTTCAGGGCAGGTGTGCACATTCCAGGAGAACCTGAGGCTGGCCAGAGGTGTGGGGATGCTAGGGGACCTCTCTGACTGGGCATCACTCTGTTTTTCTCACCAAGGAAACGAGCAGAGAGATTTGTTCCGAGTGTCAGTTCCCACACCTGCCTTCACCCACAGTGTGGTCATGGCAGCATCCAGCTCAGCCTTACTCCACACTGCTCCCTTGTCTGTTGGCTGGGCCTCCTCCTGCTCCTGGCTTCGCCTCTACTGACCTCGTGCCTTCATGCCCGGAGGCCTTACACTAATGCCCACGCTGTAGGGGTTGTGGTGAATGCAGGACCTGGCCATGGCAGTGCCTCACTTTCTGAGCCCTGGCTGATGCCCCAGGCAGGGGATTGTATCTCATCTGTGGTCAGCAGGCCCACACTGCCAGGAGCGAGTTAGCAGGCTCCAGTGTCCCAGGGTTCAGTCCTCTTCCCCACTTGGACAAACACTAGCTACTTATAGTTGACACAGAATAAAGCTGTGACTCCATGGAGCTGAATGGTGAGGCCCCACAGTGGGCATCTGACATCCTCTGGGGGGGAATGGGACTGGCCAGAACCCCACCTATGGGGTTAGGGAGCCCTGCACTGGCTGAGTGAGGAGGGTCCTGAGACATGCCTTGGCATAGGGAGTGCCCTGAGGAGAGGATGAGAGATGGGAAAGCATGCAAGTGGGCAGAGGGGGTGGGCCTGGCCAGGAGGGCCAAGCAGATCCTGGGGTGACTGCAGGTGCTGCTTGGGGCTGTCCCCGTGGCTGACAGCAGCCCTGGGTGCAGAGCAGGTCATGGGTGGAATGAGGGTGAGCATGGGACCCACCTCTACCTGGAACTCCCAGGAGCCCACAGCTCCTTGGACTCTTCCCTGTCCACCACAAGTTCCTGCCATGGTTAGGACCTGTCCTGGGCTAAGTGCTGAGGTCTGTGCCATGGCTGGGGAGGAGCTGCCTGAGGCAAAGGATGGGGCCTGGCTCTCCAGGTCTCCCTGGGCACACCCTAGCCACAGGTCCGGGGGGTGTGAATCCAGTCCTGTGGGCGAGGGGCAAGATCAGGAGGGACCATCCCGCATGCCTATATGTGCTGAGCCAGGCTCATCTTCAGTGCTTTGCTAAACTAGCAATGAGTCTCTGGGGACATCGCTTTGCCTAAGAAACCATTTTGCCCTAAGCAGCTGTAGGGACACACCATGCATCGGCCCTGGGTGTTGCGTGTTTATTTTCCTTTTGCATAGGCATAAATTAGAATCTGGAGATAAAAACATTGACCAACAGTGCAGCATTTGTGGCAGGAGAGCGCACTCGAGACCTGGTTGTCCAGCACTGGCCCTGGAGGACAGGGTCAGCAGGCCCATCCCCCAGATCCCCCAGGGTGTCACATGGTGCCCCACAAAAGGGGGCTAGGATCAAGCCCTTAGCTTCTCAGTTAAAAAATAGACTGCAAAATATACACAAACCCAGTAAGGCCTGCTGGGTCCCAAAGCCCTCCACCTGCTCGTTCCACAGGGCAACCTCCAGCCTCCCCAGCCCCTACCCCACAGACCACAGCAGAACCAGCCTTGAAAAGGCAAGGTGCAGCCCCAGGGTGCAGTGGGGCTGACAGATCCAGTGGCTACATCAATGTGTGACTGCCCAGGCCCCCACCCCCCAGCGAGGGCAGGTGTGGGGTTCTGCATCCCAGGACTGGTGGGTACTTGGCTCAGGGCATGAGCAGGTGCAGGGGGGAATGGGAAACAGCATGGGGGAAGAGAAGCAATTGCTGTCACCAACAGAGGGGCCCCTGCTGCTGGCTGGAGCCGCTCACAGGCACACATGGCTGTAAGAAGCATGGGACTGAGCCCCTCCAGGGTGTGAAGCCACCCCTGGGCCATCCTGACTTGGCACAAACACAGGCTTCTGAGAAGCCCCTCGGGGGACCAGAGGCACCAGCTTCATGCCAGGTGGTCCTGCTGGACTGCCAGGTGCAGGTGTGCAGGGCAGTTCCACTCACCCAGCTTTGGCACCTGTTTCAGCCATTCACCTTCTAGTGCCAGCCCCTTCGCCTTAAGCAAGGGCAGCTGGGACCAACCTCTCCCCGCCTCCCAAGCCCCCAGGCTCTGCTACATATGTACACCCCTTGGTGCCCTGTTACAGAGGAGGAAGAATGAAGAGACAACAGCTGCCAGCTGCCTCCAGCCACCTGCGTGCGTGTTCCTGTGCATCCCTGCAGGGCTGGGGCCTCCTCTGTGCTGCCCCTGGAAGTCGGGGTGCTGGTCAAGCATGTGCGTGATGGGGGCCGCTCTCTCTGCCAGGGTGTGGCAGGCCTCCTGGTGACGCCGCGGGCACAAAGCTGGTGTCTAGTGGGCGGGCTCCCCGTGTACCCTGAAGCGGTAGATGCAGGTGTACTCGGGGTGGCCCCAGTTTGTCAGGATGCGCAGCTCCACCACCTGGTACGAGGCCACCGGAGGGGCCTGAGGGGGAGAGAGTGGCTTCTGAGTGTCCTGGCCTCAATGACAAGGAGGGGGTGGGGCTGGCCAGGTGCTCCCAATCCCTGCTCCTCTCCCAGGGCTCCGAAGAGAAATGGGCTTCCTCCAGAGCCAGGGACCCATGGGAGCCTGCATGCCCCTCAGGTCATCCACCTGGGACATTGGCATTCACCACTCTCGTGTTGTCGGGGGCCAGGACTGCCTGCACATGTGCCCCTCCTGTGGGGAGGGTCTGCCCGTGTGTGCGCTCCGGGCACCTTTTCCTCTCTGCCCAGAAAGGCAGTGCTGTGCCTGTACATCCTGTCCTCCCCATGACCTTACCCCCTCAACTGCTCGGTCAGCACTGGGGGCCCACACCCATGGTCTTTCCCCAGCCCCACAAGCTGGCCCCTTGGGCACTGCCAGCTCAGCATCCAGACCAGCCTCCCCTTCCAGCCTGTGTGGCCATGTCACAGCCCTAAACTATTCCCTTGGCTTCTGCCTGGGTCCTCCACGCGGCAGCCTAATCAAGGTGGCGCCCCCTGCTGCTGTCCCTTCTTGACCCCGTTCACCCCAAATCTCATGGGGGGCTGGTGGGAGTCCTTCTGCGGGTCACAGGCCACCTGACTCAGCCTCATGCGTTCTGTTTGGAGGCAGGTGCTGGCTGCCATCGGCCCTGGGGCATGAGGCTATCTGGGGTTGGGACCAGGAGTCTCCAGGTCTGGCTCAGGTCTCGGGCATCTGGGCGCCCGCTGTTGATCAGTCTGCCTCAGACACTGTCTGGAGCCCCGCCTAGCCTCATCCTGGCCCACGCAGGTCCCTTTCAGCGTGTCCCTGTGCTGGTGAGGTGGAGCTGGGAAGGACCCCAACACAGACTCTGCCCATGGGACAGGATGGCACCTGTACCTGGAAGTAGAATGTCTGGATGGGTTCTCCATCCTGGTCATAGGTAAACTTGCCGAGAAGTGTCCCCTCCTGCTGCAGGTCTTCATCAAACCCCTGCAAGACAGTGCAGGCAGGCAGGTAAGTGAGTGGAGGCTGGACAAGGCAGGCGGTGCCAGCAGGGAGCAGCCTGGTCCCTCCTCCATATTCCTACCTACCCCAGGGACTACGGCCACCTCCCAGCCCAGCCCCTCTGCCAACTCCATCGTCCACACTCCCCACTTCTAATCAAAAGTGACCCTGGCTGCTTTGGGTCCCCACACACGGGCTGACACTCACAAAAACAGCAAAGTCCTTGGGGGCGCTGGAGATGGTGCTGTTGGGTGACAAGGCCTTGGGCACGTGCTCTAAGGTGACAGCTGTGGGGCGGATGCGGGCCGAGAGGCGCACCACGGCGAAGCCCTGGGGCCCCTGGAAGGCCCAGCAGTTGCCTGGGTGCACGTCTGGCTGTGGGTGGAATAGAGAGGCTGGGTCAGAGTGGGGCCCTGCACCCGTCCAGCTCTGGGTGCCCCAGGAGGGCTTGGTCCCCAAGGGGGCTCACTACCTGAAGGATGACGCGGGGCGACTGGGAGTGGTACCACAGCGGGATGCCGAAGAGACTGAGCAGCGCCGTCTTGGTCTCATAGGTCTCTGAACATCGGGTGCTAATAACGCTGGCACCTGAGAGAGCATAGGGTGGGTGCCCACACGAGAGAAGTCAACCACCAGCTTGGCTTGCCATGGGAAACCTGGTGGTGGGGGGTGATTTTCTGCTGATCTCAAGCTGTGCCCACCCTGCAGATGCTAGATGCCTGGTCTCAGCTGGGACCAGGGTGGGACATGTGGACATACCTCCAGACTCCAGGGCATAGTCCACCATCCCGATGCGGTCCTCACTGTAGCGCTGCAGGGCCTGCTTCACAATCCGGTGCACCTGCTGAAGCCCGGCCCCAAGCCCCGGTCACCATGGCAAGTGGGCTTGACTGTTCTGGTACCCCACTGCCATGGGCCAAGGGTCTCCCAGATCTATGCCAGGCAAGTGCCCCCACTGGGCCCAGCCTCCCAGCCAGCAGGGGGCGCTGTCCAAGTGCTGAGTTCCCCAGCAGGAGAGCAGGCGGCACAGGGGGCACTTTGTCCTCACCTCCTCTGTCACCCCAATCACACCTTCTTTCTGCAGTGTCAGACTGAGCGAGGCTGCAGCCTCCCGGGCAGACTTGCCCTGTGTCTCAGCCACGTGGGCCAGGATCTTGCCCTCCAGCTCTCGTAGCTGAGCCTGTAGCTCCTCCCGCTCCAGGAGCCCGCTGCGGGTGGCCCCACCACCTTGAAGGAACTTGGTAATCCAGGCGGGGGTCTGCGATTCCACCTGGGGACCAAAGGGGACATCATCAGGGGAGGGGCCTGAAGGACAGACAGCAGGGAGTGGAGTGCAGAGGGGAACAGGTGAGGGGAGCAAGAACCTCAAGAGGAAGGAGTTAGCAGCA